CCAAAGGGCTTGTTAAAACCCCAGGTGCTGGGCCCCAGCCCTGGAGTTTCTGATCAGCAGGCCTGGGATTGCACCTGAACATTTGCATGTCTAACAAGCTCCCAGGCGATTGTGGTGCTGTTAGTGGGGGCCGTATTTTGAGAACCACTGTCCTGGGGGACTGCTGGCTGCTGAGAAATGGGTCCTGGGCACCCCTGCTGCTGAGGCCACAGCCAGCTACCATTGGGTGGGGGTAGGTGGGTGGTGGGGCAGAAGAGGTGTTGATGAACACGTGGGGCTGGACACAGGCTCTCACTTCTCCAGGTTTATTGTAGGATACGGAGCCAAGGGCTTCCACACCCACATCTCCCCAGCACAGGGAGTCCACAGACAAGGAGGAGCCTCCAGAGAACAGAAATGCCCTCTCTCCCTCTGCTTTTTAGTGGCCTACTGCTTGTCTGCCATTTATGCCCACAGCTCATTCTGTTCCGGGACCATCCTTGGCAGCTGGTGGCTGTCTATTTCCACACATGAACTGTGGTGCTCTTCCTGCCTGGGATCATGCTGCACTCATCTGTGGGGGCCCTGCAGCGTCCAGCATGGTCCTTGCGCATAGTAGGTGCTTTGAAAACATAGCAGTGCAGAAAGAATTTGGGCTTTGCAGATGGTAGCAGAGAGAACAGCATCTCAACCTGGCTGCGCCTTTTCAAGTAATGTGGCTAGAAAATTACTTTGTCTCCTGGGCTTGGTTAACCCAGCTGTGAAACAGGGATCTCACCCCTCACATAGAAGGTTATGGGGTGGGGGGTGGCACACTGAGCACCCTGCACATCCTAGTGAGGGCTGGATAAACAGAAGCATGTATCTATTAGATAACTCTTAGTGGCATTCATTGGGGGACTGTAGGGCTGTGATTTGGGGGCTGTAGGGCTCTGGGTGAGGGGTGTAGGAGTGACAGACCCCAGGGAATAGAGAAGTCATCTGGGGTTTCTCCCCTAGAGTTTGAGGCTTCCTGCCAGGCTCAGAATAAGGGTCTGAGAAAACTATTGGATGGGCTGACCACCTGCAGCCTTCTGCCCCAGCCTCTGCTGCCTCGTGACCCTGGCCCTTTGCCAGGCTAAGTTTAGCCGTGACCTGCATGGGCCACCACACTCTGTAGGCAGGGCCAGCGGTGGAGAGGAACTCCGCAGGTTTCCTGCTGGCTTCCTGGCAAGCAGACAGACAAAAACCCTCAGAGGAACCCAAGTTAATTTTCGAGCCAAACCCAACTCATGTCTTGGACCACATGCATGGGGCAGCCTTGTAGAGCTGAGAGCCTTGGGCCAGTGCAGAGGTGGACAGTTTTCAAATTGGGGAAAGGGGGCCCTTTGGGAGGTGGGGTGGGGCACATATATATCCATGGTTCTAGGAGAGGCTCCCAGATACCTGTCTATCCCTCTGGTCTCCAACAAAAGTCACCCCACTCTGGTTCCTTCTTATTCTTCTGGCCCGGTGGCCCCAGGGCAGTGTTTCCTGTGGTTTGTTTTGGGGAGGGGGGGAGTAGAGGACCCAACTCAGCCTCATCTCGCGAGCACTGAGCGGCACGGCCTGTTCGCCATCCCTCCGTGCCCATAGGCAGAGCCCGCCTGTCCATACGCTAAAAGCAAAATGACACCTGGGATCTCATCTGATCTCTGGGAAGGAGTTGTCGGTTTAAGGAAGGACTGAGTCAGAACTCCACCTCCAGGAGGATGCAGGCCTCCAGAGGCTTCTCCCTTTTGCTGGAGGGCAGAGTGGCATGCCAAGGGACAGCAACACTAGGGGAGCATTTTGTGCTTTCAAAGCACCTTTGAGCGTGCTTTGCTCCACACCCCTCGGACTTGGCACGGTGCGCTTCGCAGGTGAGAAAACAGGCCCGCAGAGGCCTCAGGGGAAGGAGCTGGTGTTGTAGGACATCTGCTCTGCGCCAAGCACCTGAGATGAATAATCTCCCTTAACTCAACCTCCCTGTGAAGGAGGGTCTGCTGTTAGCCCCATCTCGCAGGTAAAGCAGTGGAGTCTGGAGAAGCAAGACCACTCGGCAAGTTAAGTCTCAAACCCAAGCCTGTCTGCTCCTATAGCCCAGGCTTCTTCCACTCTGTTCCCTTCTCCCTCAGTCTCCCAGTGAGTGTTGTAAGCCTATGACTGTCCAACTGTCCATGATCCTGTGGGCTGCGTGTATCCCGCCCTTGAACCTTGCAGAGGCATCTGCCTGGCCCATTAGGAACCACTGCAGGCAGGTTCACTGTGTTATCCCATCACTTCACAGCTACCCTTTTATAGGAAAACTTGCTCAGGGGCAGGCATTTTGCCAAGTGCTTTATATGTATTACCTTGTTCGAGCTTTACAATAGCAGGTATTATTATTGCTGTTATATGGATGAAGAGACTGAGGGTCGAAGAAATTGAGTGATTTGTCCAAGGTCACATAGCTATTAGGTACATGTGCTGGGCCCTGTCTTGTCTCCTCTGGAATCCATCCTCTTAACCCCTTGCACACAGAGTCGATGGCTCCAGTTCGTTTGGAGCTTTGAACCTTGTCTGTTGCAATACAAGGAGGCCATTACGGCCCTTGAACAGGACACAAGGATGCACACAGGTAGTCCTATGGAAGCTTTCGGGGAGGGAGGAAGAAGACTTCCCAGTCTTCAGGCTTGACAATGACGCCATTGTGTAGTTGGTAGCATCCTATCCTGAGCGAGCATGGAGACTGACCTCCTAGATCAGGGGTTGCCTAGGATTATTACTGTGACTTGTCAGGCAGGGCCTGTCATGCCCAAAGGTGGCTGCCTGTAGTACAGGGACCCTCAGGGTCCTCAACAACCCCAAATTCTCTGCTAACTGGCTGCTGCCTGGTGCTCTGCCTAATAGCACTCTACACCTTTATCTTAAAAGCCTGATCCGTGTTAATAAGCCAGCCTCCAGCTTTGCCTTGGACCCCCCTGGCAAAACTTTCCATTGTTGTATCTCTAGAATGTGGAAACCAGGACTGACCTGTTTCTGCAATTCTCTGGCAAGCTACTCCTAGTCTTGGGGACGAAAAGCTGGCCAGCTGCCCCCTGTACTTTTTCCTTAGCCTGCCTGCCTTCCGGTCTGACTTTCTCCACTTTCTCCTGTCCTCCATCTCCTCAAGTTCACCTCTGGGACCTGAATGGATGTGTAAACCTAATTCTGCTGCAGGCGGACCACTCTTTTGGTTCCTGCTTGCATGTCCACCTGCGTCTAGGATGGAATCACAGCTGAGCAGCAGGCTTCACCCAAGTGTGACAGCTCAGGTCATGCACATCCTGGCACTGGTGGCTAGAACCTGTAGAGGTTTCTTTACCTGATGACAAATACCTATTCCTTGGCACCATCAGGGTAAGAACCAAAACAAGTATTTTTAAGGGTACAAGTTGAAGGTTAGCTATGGGGCTCACGCAAAGTGGAAAAGCTCCTATCAGCATGAGTGGCATACAGGGGGTCAGGGGAGCCCTCTGTGTTTTTTGTTGTCCAAAAATGACCTCATTTGGCCATTAGCCTTCCTAGCTAAGGTCCCAGACAGGGGGGCAGAGTAAGTATTGAAAAGGCCCACTGTTACTTCCCAAGCTTCTTGCCTAGGAGAGGAGAGGGTGTAATATAAAGGCTTAACCTTGTAAGGCTGTGCTTCTCCGACTTTCATGTGTATGGTATTAAAATGCAGATTCAATTGGTCTGGGATGTGGCCAAGGTTTTGCATGTCTAACAAACTCCCAGGATTGTATGGGGTTAGCTCTTCCCTAAAAGTCACTTGAGATCTAAAAATCCATTTGTCCTGGAGGAGTGGAGTATCGCCCTTCACAACTAAGAAGTCAGGTTTAAGGTTTGGAAGATTCAGGAGAGCAAATCTAATGTTCAGCCACTCTGGTTGTCTCCAAGGTTGCCCAGGGGAGAGCTCTACCCAGGAGAAGGCCAGGAGGTCAGAGTCTGTATTTGGGGTGAGGCCTCACAGATCAGAAGGAGAGGTTTATAGTGGGGGAAGACAGGGCCCAGAACTGCTTCAGAAGCACTTGCTGTTGGATGTGTGCATGCTGTTCACCATCCCCTGCTGTGTACACACTTCGCATGGGTCACCACATCCATCAGTACTGTGACCCTGCGGCTACTGTGGTTTTCCTCTTGTACAATAAGGAAACTGGGTCTCAGAGAGGTATGTTAACATGCCCAAGGTCACACAGCTAATCAATGACCCAGCTGGCCTTGTAACTCAATCTTCTTCTTCTCCACCACTAGGCTTTACTGCATTGAAAAAACACACCTGTGCCACACAGCATTCACTGAGGGGAGATGGGTGAAGGGATAGAAAAATGACTTGAACTGATTTAAACAAAGCAAAGAAATTATTGATTTATAGGAGTTAAAAAGTCCAGAGGCAGTGAGTCCAGAGAGTCTGCTTTTGTCTGTGTTGGCATCTTTCTCAAGCAGACCCCCTTCCAGGCAGCTGGAGAGCCACCGGCAGCTGTAATCATGTTCCCTGGCAAACCAAGGCCACAGGGCATCTTTCTCCCCATCGGCCCCAACAAATCCTACCTGTGCCTCCCTCCCATTGGCCCAAGTGAGGTCCTGTGCTCCTCACTGAATCCACACTGTGGGGGCAGGGGTGTGGAATAGCTTGGGCCTGGGTTATATGTCCCCCCCCTCCCCCCGGAGCTGGGGTGGGATCATCTACCCAAGCCACAAGACAGGGAGCAGAAACCGGGTGGCTGCTGAGGAAAGTGGGTTGCTGCTTCCAGAAGGAGGAAAGCCTGGGCAGACAAACAGGGCCTTCCCTATGGGTTGCTCAGCCAGGATTGCTGGTGTGGGACTCTTTGCAGGTCTTTCATCCAAGGCCACATGGAGGCACACGAGGAGACTGCGGGTTGGCGGGGAGAAGAACCAAGACATTCACCTAACTCCGTGGGTGGGGGGTTGATGCGAGCATCCGGGGAAGAGGCGGCACAGAGGGACGCTCGGTGTGACCATTGATCTGTCTCTCTGTGTGGCAGGAAGGTTGCAGCCATGGCTCTGGGGCTCTTCCGGGTGTGTCTGGTGGTGGTGACAGCCATCATCAACCACCCGCTGCTGTTCCCGCGGGAGAACGCCACGGTCCCCGAAAACGAGGAGGAGATCATCCGGAAGATGCAGGCGCATCAGGAGAAGCTGCAGCTCGAGCAGCTGCGGCTGGAGGAGGAGGTGGCCCGGCTGGCCGCCGAGAAGGAGGCGCTGGAGCGGGTGGCCGAGGAAGGCCAGCAGCAGAACGAGAGCCGCACGGCCTGGGACCTGTGGAGCACCCTGTGCATGATCCTCTTCCTGGTGATCGAGGTGTGGCGGCAAGACCACCAGGACACGCCTTCACCCGAGTGCCCAGGCGGGGACGAGGAGGAGCTGCCTGGCCTGGAGGGTGCCCCGCTCCGGGGCCTCAGCCTGCCCAACAAGGGCACGCTCAACCACTTCTATGAGCGCTGCATCCGGGGGGCCACGGCCGATGCGGCCCGCACCCGGGAGTTCGTGGAAGGCTTCGTGGATGACCTGCTGGAGGCCCTGAGGAGCCTCTGCAACCGCGACACGGACATGGAGGTGGAGGACTTCATTGGCGTGGACAGCATGTATGAGAACTGGCAGGTGGACAGGCCACTGCTGTGCGACCTCTTTGTGCCCTTCATACCCCCTGAGCCCTACCACTTCCACGCAGAGCTCTGCTGCTCCCGCCGCTCTGTGCCCTTGGGTCGCCAGGGCTATGGCCAGATCAAGGTGGTCCGGGCCGACGAGGATCCGCTGGGCTGCATCTGCGACAAGACCAAGCTCGGGGAAGACATGCTGTGTCTCCTCCACGGCAAGAACAGCGTGGCTCAGCCGGGCGGCGAGGTGGAAATGCTCCTGTGTGCAAGAGACGCCCCCTACCTGGACACGCTGCAGGTCATGAAGTGGTTCCAGATGGCCCTCACCAGAGCCTGGCACCGCATCGCCCACAAATACGAGTTTGACCTGGCGTTCGGTCAGCTGGACTCCCCTGGGTCCCTCAAGATCAGATTCCGCTCGGGGAAGTTCATGCCCTTTAACCTGATTCCTGTGATCCAGTGTGACGACTCGGACCTGTACTTTGTCTCCCACCTTCCCAGGGAGCCCTCTGGGGAGGCCCCAGCATCCAGCACTGACTGGCTCCTGTCCTTTGCCGTCTACGAGCGACACTTCCTCCGGATGACATCGAAGGCGCTGCCTGAGGGTGCCTGTCACCTCAGCTGCTTGCAGATCGCCTCCTTCCTGCTGTCCAAGCAGAGCCGCCTGACCGGCCCCAGCGGGCTGGGCAACTACCACCTCAAGACGGCCCTCCTGCACCTGCTGGTCTCCCGGCGGCCTGCTGACTGGGAGGCCGGGCAGCTCGATGCTCGCCTGCACGAGCTGCTCCGCTTCCTGGAGAAGAGCTTGCTGGAGAAGAAGCTCCATCACTTCTTCATTGGCAACCGCAAGGCACCCCATACCATGGGCCTCCCTGAGGCTGTGCGCAGGGCTGAGCCTCTCAATCTCTTCCGGCCCTTTGTCCTGCAGCGAAGTCTCTACCGGAAGACGGTGGACTCCTTCTATGAGATGCTGAAGAATGCCCCGGTGCTCATCAGCGAGTATTCCCTACATATCCCCTCAGACCACACCAGCCTGCCCCCAAAAGCTGTTGTCTTGTAGAGCTCCCAGGACCCAGAGGGCCGGGGTGCAGGACACCCCACATGTCCACACCACTGGGGGCATCCACAGTCCAGTCCTGGGAAAATGCTGGGCTTTGCTGGGAGCCGTGGCTCAGCCCACCAGGGAAACCCTACAGCCCCAGAGGAAAGCATTCCAAGCTGGAAGCTGGTTTGCTTTTGTGCCAGCTGGGGCCTGCTGGTGAGGTTCTGGTCTGGGGTTGGTTGACCCTTTGCTGCTTACTTTTGGATCACCACAGACGGCTAAGATGATGACGAAATACTGCATGGACAGTAAGTTAAAGACACCGCAGACATCGATTTGGGTACAATTTTTACCTCCCAGGTCCAGTCTTTACTTGGATATCCACAGAGGATCTACAGGAGTCTGACAGGGCAGTGTGTTATGACCCTGCACCCTGTTTCCAGTCACTCTTGGCCCCGGGCATCTGCACCCAAGGCACTAACAGGGGCAGCTGTGGGAATCTGCAGCCTTCCATCCTCAGCCTGCAAAACAGGAGTCCACCTGTGGCTGCCATTTTTTAAGCTATTTGGAGAAAAGACCAAGTAGCGGTTCGAGGCCCTAAGAGGCCAGTGTCTGTTGCACAGAAATGGGCACTTGGTGGCAGAGGGAAGTTTCACGTGGCCTCTTTTTCAGCTACATGTCTCAGGGTGCACCCCCTTGCCCAACCCCTTCCCCCAGTGAGCTGAGCACTGTGGGTGCCACATACCATGCAGGGTACAGGCTCCTCGGCCCCTCACCCCTCTCTATTCTCTCCACAGCTGGTCTGCACGGGGTGGGGGAGGGCGGATACCAAAGGTGGAAGCTCTGGGAGACACATGGTGAGTGAGATAAAGGACAGAACCTATACCCAGGGTACTGGGGCCTGGCTCGCAGCCTGGCCTCTGATGCCCAGTCCAGAGCTGAGAAGTGACACATGCCATAGCCCTGAGTTTTCCTCCACAGGGTCTGTCCCAGAGCAGGGCGTTCCTGGAGGCCAGGGGAGAAAAGCTAGCTCTGTCTGTTAGCCCCAGGATCTGCTCTCTCCAGTGGGGCTCCCTCCCTGCACAGAACCCTCCTTTCTGGATGGGCCTTGCCAGCCAGCTACACAGATGACCAAGACCCTGAGAGGCTTGGCTGACTGGGGGCATACAGGGACGGCACTGCTGAGGGCCCCGGTCACTGGGCAGGCGCCAGAGGCTGTGGTGGGAGCTGGCCCGTCTGTGGGCCTCTTTTAGAAGGGTTGGGAAGCCACTCCCTCCTCCACTTGTGGCTTCACTGGCCCTTTGGGAGTTCCTCTAATGGCATTGCCTCAGTAACCCTTGCAGCAAGCGAGGAGGAGGCAAGAATGAGGGTGCCTGCACCAGCAGCAGGGGTCCCCTTCAGGGTTTAAGCTGGCCATGCCTGCTGAACAGCACACGCAGTTCCCCGGGGCTGTCAGGCTCACCCCGAGCTGCAGAGGATCCTGTCCCAGCCCCAGAGGGTTCTGGAAGGTGGACAGTGTGCCTGGCAGGGTTTACTCGCAGCAGGCTGGGCTGTGATGGAACACTGAAACCTGGCGGAATCCTTCCGTGTGAGCTGGAGTTGGACTGTGCAGACCGGCGGCCGGGGCTGCAGGGAAGGGGCGTGCCGGCAGTGCCCGACAGAGCTCCAGGCCCCCCATTCAGTTGGGACTTGTTTCCAGAGTCGGGGTGAATTTCCGTATTTATTATTGCCCATGCCTTGCCTTCCCCACCTTCATCCTTGTTGTGCTTGGAGGAGACCCCACAGCCAGGAACCAGCCTCCAGAAGCCGAGACCAAGCCTGGACCTCCCTTGGCTCCCAGGAGAAAGTTCACTGAAAAATTACCTTCTGGCCTCTTGTTTATTCAGAGCTGCCGGCTCAGCGGGGAAATGGGGATCTTTTATGCACCGAGGCTGCTTCTGAAGCAGAAAGCAGCAGGGCTCTCATGTTTCATGCTGCCTTATTTATATTAAAGGAAGAATTAAATTCTTGGAAGAAGTAGAAACTGGTCACGGTGTTTGTTTTTACTTCAAGAAGTCTGTGCGTTCCCCAGAGCAGAGTTGGGGAGTGGGGAGGGTTTCCTGTTGACCATCGGAAGCTTTCACTCCCTTTTGCTTCTTACGCTTTCACAAAACTTTTGCAAATAATAAAATAGAACAATTTCTAGTCCATCTTCGAAGCAGCCTGCGGAGTTCCGAAAGGGGAACTTGGTGGATGCCAGCACGAGACTTTACCTCACAGAACTTGATGTGCAGACAAACGTGGGAGCGAGAAGAAACATGAAGCTTTTGGGTTTTGAGGAAAGGGATGATCTTTTAAGTGGAAGCTTTAGTCCCTCAGGGCACGTCTGAGGCCTTTCCACGAAGGACACCCAGGCCTCTTTCTCTGAGGAAGCTCTTTCCTCAGCCAAGCATGTTTGACTTCACCGAGCTTCCACTCACTGGGGTGTGTCGCATGCTCCAGAACCACATTTTGCTACACCTCTTGACAACACAGAAAGGAGGAAGGTCGGCCAGAGGCCGAGACACTGGTTAGGTTGGGAAGAGCCACAGGAATGATGGAAACAGGGCGCCTGGGTGGCTCAGTAGGTTAAGTGTCCGACTTCGGCTCAGGGCATGATCTCAGGGCTCGAGAGTTCAAGCCCTGTGTCAGTGCTGACAGCTCAGAGCCTGGAACCCACTTCAGATTCTGTCTCCATCTCTCTCTGCCCCTCCTCCCCTTTCAAATATAAATAAACATTTAAAAATTTTAAAAAAGAATGATAGAAACACTGGTGAGTCCACAGGAGAAGCCCAGTTCAGGCTGCCTTACTGGCTGTAGCCCCAAAAGACACATTACGGGTGTCCCCTAGGTGCAGGTTTCTGGGCCACGCTGCACCCAGCAGTGGAGTCTGTAGGAGTCTGGCCCAGGAATTTGCCTTTTGCCGAGTTCCCCAAGTGATTCGGAAAGGCCAGGAACCACTGATTACCTTGGGGGATAAGGGATTAGGCACTGCCTGATACGGCTTCTGAAAGATGGGTAAGACTGAAGAGGAAGAATGTTCCAGCCAGAACCATGGGGTGAGGGTAGGAAAGCTTAATAGATGGAGGCAACAATTAACTGCCATCTACCTGGTGCCAGTCACCCTTCTGTGTGCATTTCTTGTGCTAACACATTTAATTCCCACGTCAACCCCATGATGTGGGTGCTGTATGTTATTCTCCCCATGTTCCAGATGAGGAAACCGAGGCACAGAAGGGTGAGTAGCAAAGCTAGGATTTGAACCCAGGCAGGGCTGGTTTATATGCTGATAGATACGGAGGAATTTTAGCAAATGAGTTTGAAAATGTTGGGGCTCATCACAGAAAAGCCTTGAAGGCGAAGTAAACGAAGGTACATTTGAACTTCATACAATAAGCAGTGGTAAGCCATTGTTGATTTTTGAGTGAGACAGTAACTTCATCTGCCCCAAACCATGAAGCCCCTAACACTGTGATCAGTGCTGTGTTAGGTGCTACAGGGGGTTATAGCCAGTTTCCGGGGGGGGGGGGGGGGGCCCACTGTGGCACAGTCAGTGAATGTCCAGGAAGTTTGGTTTTGTTTTTAATGATTTTTTTTTTTGAGAGAGAAAGAGTGTGAGTAGGGGAAGGGCAGAGAAAGAGGGAGACACAGAATCTGAATCAGGCTCCAGACTCTGAGCTGTCAGCACAGCTGACATGGGGCTCGAACCCACTAACCGTGATATCATGACCTGCGCTGAAGTCCAAGGCTTAACCGACTGAGCCAGCAGCCCTGTCCTGGAAGTTCTAACTGAAGTCACCACATAGGCTGTGATTCAGCACATTTTCATGCTCTCTCTCTCTCTCCACCTCCTGGGATAGATCTGGAAGGTTGTTTGGTTTGGCCGGCAACTCAGGAGCAGAGAGCACCAATCCCCACTGCTCAGTGCGGGAAACACAGACCCCCAGCTTGCCTGGTGCCCACCTTGCTCACCCTCCTCTGCCTTCCCCCTGACCCCTCCCCCCAACCATGAGAAGAGCATCTTTTAGAAGCCATCCAAAGATAGTTTGTTTTTCTAACCAGTTGGGTTTTTTTAAATAAAAACAATATAGTCATGATAAAAAAATTCAACTACTGACAGAAAAGTTAAGTAACAGATACAAGCACCCACCCCATCTCCATCCATTCCCCATCCGTAACCAATATGAAATTTCTTGTGTAGCCTTCCAAAATTTTTCTGTGTATGTATCACATGTGCACATGCACCCCTCTTTCTTTTTACATAAATTGCATCATATCATCTAACTTTCCTCAGATATCAGTTTTGAACATTTGGTTCTACCCTATTTTTCAAAATAGCTGCTGACTTACTATCTCCCTGTTTGTATGTATGTACCCTAAATTACTGAGCCTCTCCTCCTGAGGAACAGTTATGGCAGCTTTTTAAAAAATTTTTTTTGCTATCATAAACAGCACCGCAGTGAACATCTCGGCATAAAGCCTGCTTTGAAGTGATCTGCCCTTCTGGTAATTGCTATAATATGCACCCATCAATTTGGTATATATGTGTTCACCACCAGGTATCTAACCATGAAAATCAACTATTGCCTGAGATTTATTCCATCATCTTGACTCCAGAGTGAGGAGAAGGCATTTTTAACCAAGTACTGAGCAACACAACTTGTGTTCTACCCTAAGTCAGGTGCTATGTGGGAAATAGAAGTCTAAGACGAGTGCTCTGTCCCCAAGGATGCGGGTCTATTAGGAAGGCAAAACTGATGGCCAAAATATAAGCCAGAGAACAGCAAAGAGCATTAAGTAATTGTAAGTGAACTGATGTGACTGAGGCCTGCATGGCAGAGGGAATTCAAGAACTCCCAGATCAGCTTTGGGTTTGGGCTGTAACAGCTTTAGCTCCCTTAGACACAGGGAAATGGGAAGGGCCTCCCCAAAGAAAATCAAATCAAAATGATTGTCGTTCCATTCCCAAATGCTTGTGTTCTGTTCATCTGGGCCCAGGGCTGGTTTATTTCCTTCTGCACAGTGTAGAACCCTGCGTTCCTGATGTAAGTGGCATTTTCTATTCCTTTGATGTTCCTCTACAGCCCCACAAAGAACCCAGAAAATAAAACTGTCAACAACAAATTTTCTCCCAGCAAGATGGAACAACATAAACCTCCATGATGTTCAGAGGCATTGCTTCTTTTCTTCCTGGGAAAAGGTAGGTCTTAAAAGTGCCAGATGAGATTTGCAAGACAGGGGTGGGGTAGGGGATTGGGAAGAATTTGGTCCCCTCTGTTTCTTTAAAACCCATTGATCAGTGATCTTTTAGATTGCTCTTAAGGTAACTTTATTTAAAATAGAAACAAAGCAAAGACCCACTTCCTGCCCCTTTTTACAAGCCACCCTTGGGCCTGTCTTCCCACCTGGCCAGAGATGACTCACAGCCCCCATGGCCTCACTGTTCACTTATTTCTGGAGAGTAGACTGAACTATGTTGCATCAGATGTCTCTTGGGACAGTGGTCAGACCTCCAGTGGCTGACTGTTGTCTTGGGGTGCCTTCAAATAGCATGGCTAGAGCTGAATCAGCCCCAAGATCTCCCAGCCAAGGACCATGAGTCAGGCCATGTCGACCCCGTACCCCAGGAATCTGAGCCAACCAAGACGACAGCAGAGGCCTTAAGTAGAGCCAGATGTAGGGCCCAGGAGATTGGTGGCATTCCGCCCTCTTGATACCGGTAGCTTTTCCGGGACTATTTCCTAAGAACACTCTCCACACATTTGTGTCCTGCAACATTTTACAACCAGACAGGCAAGGAAGGTACCAAAGCCCCACCCATCCAGAACCAGACTTGAAGCAGCAAGATCACTCAGCCTGAATGCTTAACGATCCAGAGAGACAAGGAAATGGCGGACCCCTGCCCTATCTCCACGTGCCCACTGAAAATGGAGGCCTGCGTGTAAGGTGCTGTCCACTAGATTCCCAGCTGCTACCATGACAAAGCTGTGCAAAGACCAAGGAGTCAGATTCCAGACTGTAGAAGAAGCACAGGGACTACGAGCTTGGGTTCTGTGTTCAGATTCTGGCTATGCCACGTCTTCCCTCAGCAAGTCTCTTAGTTTCCATGAGCCTTGGTTTTGCCTCAGTTTCTTCTATAAAATGGGATCATACTGTCCACCTCCTAGAGCCATTGAGAAGATTGAGTAAAAAGGTCACTTAGCTTAGGACTTGAGTAAAGTCAAGAACAACAAAAACAAAAACAGTAAGCTCTCCATAAACACAAGGTTGTCTATTCTGACTCTACCTTGGGTTCCTTCCTCCATAAACCTGAGGCCCAGGTTTTAGGTGAGGGCTTCAGCAGAGCCCCAGCCAGCTCTTCCTCTGCCTGCCACTGCACCCAGGATATCTGTCCCTGACCACACCTCTGCTGCCATCAGATGGTCCCAGATAAAGTCACCAAAGGGGGCCTTTCTCTTTAGCAAATGAATGGCCAATTACCATTTATTTTAGGGTGGAATTTTTAAAAATAACTCCTTCCCTTCCCATCTAAACTGTTTCTAGCACTGGGTGTTATGTGGAAACTAATTTGACAATAAACTATTTGTAAAAAAAAATAATAAATAAATAAACACAAATTAAAAAAAAAACCTAATGATTTATCCTGGTACCTCCCCCCTATGGCAGAAATGCACGGAAATATGCAAATACTCACACACATCCTTTGAGAGACTTTCTAAATCCCTAGGCATAATAACCCAAATATTGCATGGCTTTGGAAACATAAACCCAGATTTATCCAAGTCTGCTCCTGCTAACAGATAGCCATCCTAGGTTCAGAAATGCATCTTGTGCTCCCAGGAGAGGGTCCACTCCAGCTCCCCTGGGTGGGCTGCACAGTCAGAGCCTGCCTCAGTTGCTTTCTCCTGGGCTTGCAAATGCACACTCTGGAGGCCATCTGCTACTGACAAAGAAGACTGCCCAGACCCCTGCTGTCCACAAGAGGAGTCTTGGTGTGGTGGACCCCCAGG